GTCTGTAGAAGGCACCTCATGGATGGACCTCAAAAGATAAGTGAGCACTTGAAACGTGAGAGCAGATGTTTCCAAGAAGAAAGGAATGCATATGCAGAGAAAGAGCTTCAAAGAGGCCTTGAACTAGCAGCCTTTATGGGGGAAGAGGGAGGTGCAGGTGCAGGAGGCAGGCGTGCTGGGCAGAGTCATCTCTTTTACAGGGATTCTCAGGAATTCCCTTAGCTATCGCCTATGAACTGTGTATTGTAATGAGTACTGAGCTGTCCAATTGTGATGGAAACAATGCTAGAATGTTTCCAATGGTGCTAGACCCACCACTGGCAATGACTGCGGACATGAATAAGAAAAGGAACATTTTGCTTCTTGGGAAAGCTTGAAGATCATCTCACCATCTTTAAATCTACAGAAGACAGAATGCTAGATAACACAGTTCCACTAGTCTTCTACTGAAACCTCAGTCTTTATTTTTAAAAGTTTAAGATCACCAGCCATTTCTTGCATCAATATTAATCTTACTTAATGTGTGTTTCATTAAACCAGCATTTATATTAATCAGAACTTGAAGTTTGCCACATGAATTAATTTTTCATGTCTTTCTCAGAATAGTTCTTGTTAAGAAGGTTGGAACTGTCTATGTCTATGAAATTAACTTCTACTTTGTGAAGTGTTTTGAGATTTCTTTAAATTACATATATCATTCATAAGCATGTGAACATGGCACTGATTCAAAGCCTGAAGGTATTCTAAGTGATCATACCATCATAGCATAAGTCTAGTGTTTGTTTCTCAGTTGCCAAAAAGAAATCAGGTGATAATCTAATAGTACCTGATTTCCTAATTTGGTTCTTCATTACCTCGATGACTATACACAACTACATATGCCTGAATATAACATCAGTATGAGATGTTATTTTCCATTCTGGGCTACTTTCAGAAAAGTTTATTATTTCATAATAATAATAAAAAAGGATATTTTTTTAAAAAGGATAATTCACTGAATCCCAGCCATAAAATGCCAACTCCTAGGAACATATTTTTGTTTCTAATTAGTCCTTCAGTGCAGGATTATGGTGTGCAGTATACTGTGCATAGCATACAATAAATACTGACTGACAGATAGAGTAGCCAATACTTTAGAGCATTTGGCCGAAATTCGCACATATATTTATTACATGAATTTATGAAAGGCAGTGGCTGAAGAAGAGTTAGTTTCTGTAAAAATTTCATTGCTTCACAGTGCAATTTTCATTTAGAGCTCCCAATATTGACAACCAAATAGAAAATGCTGTGGGAAGAACAGATGAGATTTCCATACTCGTGCCAAGGTAGAGACTTTCCTCTGGGCAGTATTGAGAAGCAGCCCTCTAGAGGCTGTGGTTTATAATGTGCAGTATTGAACTCTTTTTTTTTGTAGTTAGGTGCTCTATCAAAGAAAAACCATGCATCTAGCAGAGAGTGAAGTTCTGGCCCCACACAGTGGCCATGTGAAAATAACACAAAATAAAGATGCCAGTAGGTGCATTTCTACATATCTGGAGATTTAGTATCTGAGAACATCTTTTGATATAGGGAAGGTGAAGTATACAGTTGTGTCAACCAAAAGTGGTGGTACATATAGTAAGGCATTGCATGTTAAATGATAAATACAAGTCAAGAGCTGACCACTTAAGGGGCTAGGGAGATAGCTCTGTGCTCTAAGCACCTCCCCGGAAAGTGCAAAAAACCAGGTTTGATCCCCAGTAGCACATGTTGTGCCAGCTCTGGGTTCTCAGGTGCACCGTGCTGGCTCCCAAACAAGGCTTGGTGGCACACACTTATAATTCCAGCTCTGGGGAGTCTGAGATGGGAGGATCACTATGAGTCCTAGCTGCATAGTGAGACCCTGTAGGGCCAGCACAACAGGTGGTGCCAGGGATCAAACCCTGGTCCCTGTGTTTGCCTAAGCAGGCTCTTAGTCCACTGAGCTATCTCACTGGCCCTAAATGGCTACAATTTGTTGGTTTTTTTGTTTTTGTTTTTTGTTTTAAAAAGAACTGCCCACCTAGTGAGCATTCAGTGAATATGCATGTGTACTCAGGAGTCTAGGAGTTAGAGCCTTGAACTCTTTTTAAAAAGATTATTTAATTATGACATGTTTGTATTACCTAATGTTTACATTCCCTGTTGGAGTTGGTGCATATCCATGACACATCTTGGTTCCTTTTCTCATCTCTGTTCCCTTCCTTCCCTCCCTGCATCTCTTGGTCCCCTTCTCATTTGAGGAAGATCTTCCTACTTTCTATTATTTATCTTTTATTTTGCTCTTTATGATTCAGGCCTTCCATGTAAGAGAAATCATGCAATACTTAAGTGTGTGTATCTGATTTATTTCACTTAATATTGTGGCCTTAAGGTGCAACTGTTTTCCTACAAATGACTCGACTTTATCTTTCTGGCAGTGGAGTGCTCCATTATGTGTAAATACCACATTTTGTTTATCCACTCAACTCTTCATGAACTTATTTATAGGCTGCTTCCAGACTTTAGGTATCATGAATTGTGCTGCATAGAGTATGCATGTCTAACTAAGATAATGTCTTTAACTCTCCTGGGAAGATGTCGAGAATAGGAATATCGGGGTCAAATGGAATTTTTATTTTTAGTTTTTTGAGGAATCTCCATTCTGGATTTTCATAGTGGTTGTACTAGTTTACATTCCCTCTGACAATGTAGAAGCTATGAACTCTTTTTTTTTTTTTAATTTTATTTATGTGTGTGTGTGTGTGTGTGTGGCCAGCTCAGCCCACTAGGGGGCGGGGCTGGCTGGCATGTGGTGCTGGGGGATTGAACCGTAGTCCCTGTGCTTTGCTAAGCTTGTTCTAAGTAGGTGCTTTAGACCACTGAGCCATCTCACCAGCCATTTTTTTTTCATTTAATAATAAAATTTTATTTTTTCCAAATGTACACCTGGTTGAGCCTATTCATCTTAAGTGACCCGGTATGCCATATATTCTTAAACTTTCATGGTTTAGAAATTAATAGAAAATTATTTTTTTCTTTTCTTTGCCTGTATAATCCACACCAATGCCAGGGAAGCCCATTCCCTGTTTTAAGCAACTGCATGGTAAAGAATACATGCTAAAAAGCCTCAATATCATGAATGAGTTGTAATCCAAAGCTTCCTAAGGGGCACTACTTTGAAACCCAGCAGTCCACAGAAGCTTGTTTATAGCTGAGCATGATATCGGTCACATCAGCCTTCCTCTGTGTACACTTTATGTAACAATGATCCCCAGGGGACATGCACTTGCCTGTCCTCTGGAAAGCTAGGACTACATCTTGGCCTCCCTCTGGCAATGACAGAGTCTCCTCTCAAACATGCTGGGCAGAGGGACTACCACAGGGGACAGAGTGGCTGCTGTCTGGATGTGAAATAACTGAGGTTTCTGCCTTCCTCCTCCCTTGCAGGATGTTCCCCACCAGGGCAGGCCACCTATCTACATCCCCTTTTCTTTCTTTTAGGGGATCCAGTGACTGCCCTCACATCTTCTGGGATTCCACTTACTCCAACCAATGCCTCCTCTTTCTGTTGTCCAAAGTAACAGGGATCAGCATTGTTCTTTCTACTTTGGAAGAAAGCAAAGATACAAGATTGATTAGCATGATAGAGTATAAGCTCTCCTAATACTGCAGAACAAAGCTTATATTCCATGAAACTTGGGTTGTAGACACAGGAACATGATATAAACAGCAGGGAAGAAAATGCGCAGAAATTCCCATGACCCAGGGCAATTTGTAGACCCCTGGTTCTGGTCAGGACCAGCTTCCTTGTCATTGTAGTCAAGAACTCAGAAACAGTTCAATAAAAAGGCAGAGTTGAGTCCATAAATTGAGAATGAGATCAGTACCAGGCAGTTATCAGCAACTTTTGTAGAACAAAAGCTGGGAAGTATGAAGCCATCCCAACCGGTATACCAAGCAATGGCAAGGAAGCGTGGTTCTTTGGCGGTATGAAGAACAAGAAGCCCCCGTTTTGAGCAAGAGCTTGAAGTCTTGAAGTCTGGCTGCTGTAGAGACCTAGCAGGGGTGCTCTTCCTCACAGCTACAGGGAGCATACCCAGAGTAGATTCACTCAGTGTGACAACTCACATCACCCAGCTGTTGTTTGTATGCACGGAGAATAGCAGTGTCTCATTCATGAGCACAGGTGACTGATTGATTGATACTGGTGTTTCAAGCAAAATAGGATGTGTGCCTATGATGCATAAACCTTCTTTACCAGAGAGTAAAAAAATAATGTAGTACTTCAAAGAGTAAATGTATTCTTCTCCTCCTTTTGACTATAAGTTTATGTCCAGTTGGTAAGATAAAATCTTCTGTTTACCTCTGCTTCATGGTAGGGAGTATGTTATTAGAGAGTTTGTGTCTTCAAGGATGGCAGCTGATGAAGGACCTCCAGGTCGATAATTTTTATAGTATAGACTTGGGATAGACAGAAAGACACACTTGGTATGAGTTAACACAGGGAAGGGGCTGGGAAGACTAACCTAAAAGACTCCTTCTTGAATTTATCTTAAAGGACATTGAGGGGTTGACCCATATCACGGAAGTCAAAATAGAAAAAGGAGTGTCCAAGCAAAGAGTACAGCATGATTCTTTTTGCTACAAATGTATAGTGTGAGATCCAGTGATCTCATATGGTCTCAGATCCAGCATATCAGTCAAGCAACAAAGAACGATGAGACATTGGCAGTAGCCAGAGGAAGCGATAAAGATAAATGTGATCAATTTTCATATGTTATCATTTCTCTTTCAGATTATTTTTAAAATTAAGATACTTTTGATGTCTTTCAGATTCCTTACATGGAACCTCAGTTTTATTTAAAATTGTAAGTTTTGAAAACTTTTAACTAGATTAGTTTATAGAAGATACAATTAATTGATTGTATCAAATAGAACTATCCTCAACTCCCATACTATAGATTAATTATAACTGACTGGCTTTCTTTGCCATTTTTCAGGTACCATGATCAGCAAGATGTTACTAGCAACTTCCTTGGAGCAATGTGGTTGATTTCAATAACGTTTCTCTCCATTGGTTACGGTGATATGGTACCTAATACATACTGTGGGAAAGGAGTCTGTTTGCTTACAGGAATTATGGTAAGTGTCTTTTTGCCTCTTGTTTCTTTTATTTATACTCTTGAAGGCACTTAAGCTATTCATCCCATTAGTCATTGTGAGATACTCCTTTTCTCAACTGTAGGGAACAGTATAAATAAACAATTTAGTCCTGAGAGTGAGTGCGTATCAATTGTTTCATTCTGAATTATTCTCATTGTAAAGTTCTTTTGAAGACCTAGAGTCCCTAGGCTGCTCTGTGGACTGTTTGTTTCAGGGACCTAAAATGGGAGGCTAGCAAGTTGTTATCACAGCATGGTGGGAGCACCTCTTTAATATTTAAGACACAGGGAGTTTGCCATCGGCAGTGCACAATTTGTTGGATTAAATTTGACCTTACAGCTATGACTTGAGAGGCAGACTGTTCATTAAGTCTGGTTTCTGCTTTTTCCCACTAGTTGCGTTAGCGCCAATCAATTTTTCTGGCCTTACTTTCCTGATAATATGAACCATATTTGCTATCTGGAAGTGTGTTGCAGGATTAAACAATTGTATGATATAATTTAATTTTTTATTGTTTTAACAAATACTTTTTTGGGAGAAAGACAATGGGTTAGCAATCTGCACTGAGAATACAGCAAAAGAAAATCTCGTTTGCCCTCTTTTCAATGGAGCTGATAAGGAAGCCCTGTATTTAAAAAATAATTGCTACTCATTAGTTTGTGATAAGAAAAAAGTAGTGCCAGACTAAGAAATTGGTACAGGGATAGGGTCTAGTTAGAAAAATAATCTCTGGAAAATAGACTTTTAAGCTGAAGTGAGTATGCTGAGTTGTCAGGAAGGAGGAACATTCCAGAAGGAGAAGAATGGTATGTTTTGATGGCAGTGAGCAAAGAAGGAATTTTGTTCCTTTGAACAAGGTGAGTAGGCAGGAGAAGAGGGGTGGCATGGAGTGAGGACAGGAGGCCAGGTCTTGTAGTGCACTTGAGAAAAGTTTCCTATGGATGGTAGGTGACAGGCCACCTTGCCTCAGGGAAGTGTAACAAGTTTTGGCGTGTTCTTTGCCCCTTGCACACTTGTGATGCAGTCAAAGCTGCTTTGCTCTGTTTGTTTCAGGGACCTAAAATGGGAGGCTAGCAAGTTGTTATCACAGCATGGTGGGAGCACCTCTTTAATATTTAAGACACAGGGAGTTTGCCATCGGCAGTGCACTGTTTTCAGCAATCTAGAGTTCTGTTCATTCCTCCTCTGCTTTTTGAAGTCTGGTTATAGCAAAGACTATTGTGTTGTTTCCTTGGATGCTCCTGCCTTCATTAACATAAGAGTCAGTACTACAACATCCTGAGGCTAGAAATGTCCACAGCTGTTAGACTGAGGCACCCGGGTTCAACACCTGTACTGTGTCCATCTGCTGGTTAGCATGAGAAAGTGCAGGCTGCCCTCTCAAAGGCCCCTGAGTGCTGGCCTCTGCAGAGCACATACCCTCGCATCCCTCCCAAGAAGATTATTCCAGAATCCTGACTAGCTGGAAGGACTGAGTGCCTGTGACATGAATGGAGGGCATCCTCTTCTACTCTTTCATAGTGTTCACTAGGATAAGGGAGCTAGCTGTGAAAACAAAATTCAGATCCTCAGGTCCCTATAAGGATTCCTCTCCTCTGGCCTCCTTGTGGTCCAGAGGAGTCCACATGTGTAATCCCAGGGTAAAGTTATTAGAATTCCAGTAAATCCAGTCTTCCACTTTCAGTGCAAACCCAGGTGAGAATAAAGAGACAAATACATATCTGTAGTTGTAAGAGAACAAAGGGGCTCCTAAGTCCAGTCAGAACAATAGCTGACCTGAACAAAGTCTATGACACAGAGCTGACTGTGTGTTTTATTAATTAATGAAAGAGGAGTAGCTCCAGGATGGGTGACTGGTGAGAATGGCAAGAAGTTCTCTGAGTGCATGAGCTGGGCCAGGTAGGGGGCCAAATGCAGAGATTGATATGCAGAAAAGTAATCTGCATAGCACAACTTGAGGGAATACCTTGTGTTTTGGGGCTGTGCTTCAGCTTTGATGTCTAGTCTTCCTGCCTTGAGACTTCAAGTATTCTTTCTTGAGCATCTGTCTCAGCTGACAGCGCAGCATCATACCCCTAGTTCACCCATACAAGTTGGAAGCTGTAGGCCGACCTGAGCTTCCCGTTGCTTCAAAGCATCTGCACCTCAGCTAGACCCATTTGCAAGGCTTAAAGTCATTTGAGGGGGCAAAGAAATATCCTAACCAGCTCTGTACTTATCACTACACAGAATCAGGACCAGGTTTACCCAAAATGGAGATAAGTGCTCTTCTTTCAAGGAGAACCATCCTGGTGTCCGCCACAGTCCCAGTTGTGAAAAAATATAACTTGGAGGCATTAATTTAACAATTACTCACTTGTAAGAGAAAAATACGGCTTTGTAAATTATAGTGAACTTTAATTTTTTTTCATTATATTTGCTCCTTTATCTGTTTACTCTTGTATGACTTCCCTTTTCCTCAAATAAAAGCACTTTGTTATGCAGTATAATACTTTGGGAAATAAAATGTGCATGGATGTAGTTTTGGAAGGCCCCATAGCAAGTCCACAGGGACATGAATGATGCTATTTATAAAAAGCAGCACTGGTAATTGCAGAGTCTTTTCCTTGGTGCTTCTTGGAAACAGCTTAGTGATCGTTTTTAGCGCAATGTACCCCCTTTTACTCTTGAGTAAGATGTGACTCAAGGTTTAGCAAGAGGCCCATTTGCCTTTAGCATCAGAGCCAAACTTGATGATATCCTTGCTAGATGCACTACCCTGTGCTATATTTGTTTTTGTTCAATATCTTTGTCCCTTGTGTCTCAAGAACCATTTCAAGTGTCACCTCACAGCATAAGACTTTTACTTATCTCTTTAAAATTGCCACTTTGTTTGGGTGTCTTTATTGATCTTTTTTTGAACATAGAAATCATAAGCATCTTTTAATCTTTACTGACACCAATGGTGCATATAATGAAATTTATAGTGACTTCCTTCCAGCTCTCTAAGTTAAAACCTTTAGTCCTAGGTGGAGCAGCATTACTCCCTCTCTCTCATAAGGTGCAGATTTCTTTCTTAACTGACCTAGTCAAAAATGGATTACTTGGATATAGTGAAAGTCACTAATCTTTGAGTAGTGTACGTGAAATGCCATGGAGAGGTCGATTGTCTCCCCAGGCTGAGCAAATTTCCATGTCATTAGGATACTGGGCAGGCTTTTGGGGTAATCTTCTGGGAATTGCTTAGAGCTCCTGTGCCTTTCCTAGGGATCAAGAGCCATGCAGGGAGGTTACCTAGGGACTACCATGGTGAATGTTTGGGTGACGGCGTACACTGCTAAAGGACTGTTTCGATGTAGCATTTGTGAAAGATTTGTTTCCTTAAGCTGAAGTGTGTTTCTGTTTTGTCAGACAAATTTTGTTTACTATTTTTTATTATTTTAGGAAGTATAAATATACTTTTGGGTTATTTATACCAGAAGTAAATTAGACATTTGCAAAACATATTTAAGTAAAATACACTTTGTCAGATTTTTCAAGGCATCTCTGAGTCTCTTTCCCTCCTCAGTCATGGCCTTTAACAAATTGTGCAAAATAATTAGGATTTACAACATTCATTGGAGAATATGGGGCCTCATGGAATCATGTTATTTTCTCTGATGTACGATGCTTCTTTGTGCTGTTTTACATTTTGATTTTCTTATTATTGCATTTATGAAATTTCGACAGAATTTACATATTTGTGTGGCTTGTTTTCATGGTACAGTAGAATTGATCTAATGCTGCTGACACCTATGAAAAGTTCCATTTTAAAAAATATGCACATAAGGAAATTGGCACTGCTTGTTTTCCTTAGAAAGTTAATTGAAACTGATGAATAACTGCCTGTTACCGTATTGAATGTTCATGTTTCACTAGCTAAAACTCAAAATTAGGCTGTAATTTAAAAATTTTTAAATAGCTAATTTTGTGTCATGGGTCATACTTTTGAGAGCTGAGGACATTAAGTTAAAATTAATCTGCAGTGATCTGGGCAGAAATATATTCTTAAATTATGAATAGAAATGGTTTTCCAGGGTTCAAAGAGGGAAACAAGTAGGGTTATTTTAAAAAGAGAAAAGAGGGATGGGAAGATAGCTCAATACAATAAACACTTGCCTCGCAAGCTCAACTGAGTTCAATCCTGAGTTCAATCCCCGGTACCATGAGAGAGAGAGAGA